AGGGTGGCCACAAGTTGGAAGACTCAAAGGCACTTAACACTACCACCACCAAGAGTAAACAGATAACCATTTTATCTATAATGGCACAGATCAAAGATAACACCCTTCTCTGTGTTCAAAGGGCACCTATTCCACTCTCCATTATTGTACTTATCATGATGTATTGTAATTATTTATTTGCTTCTACACTAGACTCTGAGCTCCTTTAAGTCAGGAGTTTTTATTTATCTTTATGTTCCTAGTATCTAACATGGCACATGGCACAGAGCTGGCCTTCAGTCAGTATGAACCTAATCAATTCACTGACTCAGTATCCATTAATTGGCAGCTTAATGCCATAAATACTGGAATGACTCTGTGCAACTAAACACTAGTAAGCTTTACTCAGGACACGGTTGAACACATTGAGCAAATACAGCCACTTTCAAGCCAAGAGAAAAGAATACCAGTCCACTGTCATTCTCTGTTGAGCAGCTTTTCTTGCGTGTTCAGAAGATGCTTACAGTCTTTTCCACAATCACAGAACCAGCACCAAAAGAGCTAGAGAGAGATGGCAAGGCTGTGCATCATTTTAGGACGAAATCAAATATACTGATCTCAAAATTATCATTCTTTTTTCAAGATTTATCAGTTCCACTGAAAAGTATAATTTGAGCATATTATATAAATAGAGAAACTTATGCCTGATAATTTTGATAAAGATGACTGAGGGGTAGAAATATAAAAACACACACACACACATGGAATGTTCAATGATCACATAAGCCTCCCAACATTACCCTCTGTGAAATTATAAAAGTAGCTATGTAGCACAATCATGTAACATAGGCAAATTAAAATGGATATACTGTATGATGTTGGAGTGGTCATTAACAGAACCTGGAACATATTCAGGTTATAATTACGAATCACTTTCACATAACCCTGTACTTATGAAGTGCTTACTCATCTTTCTGTTGGTATCATAAACTCTTACCTGTAGATTCTCCACAGCAAAAGAAAAAAAAAAAAAACAACTAATGCCTAGTTGATACCCTTCTTTGAGCCACCATGATTTTAGGCTGCCAATCTCCAGCTGCCAGTAAGGAAAATAAAAGCCAAGTTTAACAAGACTCTTAGAAAGACTCCCTGAGAAAGGTAATTTGCTTATAGATTCCTATCTTTCACAACCCAACATGAAAAAGATCTGCATCACAGTACCCTATTCTCCCACATTGTGTTCATCATAATGGAGCTGAATGCAGTTAGATCTAATGTCATCTTATTTTGTTGTTGCTGTTAGGTGCCATTGAGTTGGTACCGACCCATAGTGACCTTATGCACAGCAGAACAAAACTCTGCCCTATCCTGGGCCAACCTCACTACTGTTGCCACACTTGAGTCCAGCAATGGTGCCACTTGGCCAATCTATCTCGTTGGGGGTCTTCCTCTTTTTCTCTGACCCTCCACCTTACCAAACATGACATCCTTCTCCAGTGACTCATACCTCCTGACAATATGTCCAAAGTATGAGAGACGAAGCTTGGCCATCCTGGCCTTCATTGTCCAGCTTTCGCATGCATATGAGATTACTGAAAATACCATGGCTTGGGTCAGGCACACCTTAGTCCTCAAGCTGACATCTTTGCTCTTCAACACTTTCAAAAGGTCTTGTGCACACAATAAAACATAAAAAAAAAAAATATTAATAAGGTCTTGTGCAGCAGATTTGCCTAATGCAATACGCCATTTGATTTCTTGACTGTTGCTTCCATGAGTGTTGACAGTTAATCCAAGAAGAATGAAGTCCTTGACAACTTCAATCTTTCTCCGTTGATAAGAATGTTGTTTATTGGTCCAGCTGTGAGGATTTTTGTTTTCTTTACATTGAGATGCAATCCATAGGAAGGCTGTGCTCTTTGATCTTATGGATGTCATCTTGTAGAGCTAATTAAAATAAGTCAGTATTTCACTTTCTATTTTGGAAAGAGAATTCTGGCCTTATACTTAAAAATACATTGAATTATTAGCATAGTGGTTACAAATCGGGCTGTGAACCGCAAGGTCAGCAGTTCGAAAACTACCAGCTGTTCCATGGGATAAAGATGAGGCTTTCTGCTCCCGTAAAGATTTACAGCCTCGGAAACTCTGTAAAGGGTTGCTGTGAGTCGGAACCGACTCCACGGCACATAACAACAACAGGCCAGGTCAATGTAGCACCAAAGTTATTCTTCCTTCCATGGTGCAATTATATGATTTTCTTGTCTTAATTACAGTGTGTTCAATTTTCATCAGATGGAAAATAAAAGACAACCAGAATCTACAATTTATAAAAATTACACTGCATATAGGTCCTTTCATTTTTCATGAATTAAAAAACAGAACCCTTGCAGATTCACATAATGTGGCTTTGTTTAACATGAGCTTCAGCTACCTCACAGTGGTATTGCATTTCATCCGTACTATAGTGCCCACAGAAAGAACAGGATATTTGTTTTACCAATTCGTAACTCCCACAGAGTAAAAAACAAGCTGATATATACTTGTTAGTATGCAATGTGTGGATCTGGCAGGATAATGTGTAATATTATCAAAACTACTTCTGATCAAATATTTTCCTCTCCCTTCATGAAAACACAAATGAAGTTTAACAAGGCTCCGCTGACAAAGTATATGCTAAAATAATACTTCTAAATCTAACAACTTTCCCTATAGTAAGCTCTTTGTTACAAATAAATGTGACTATATTTTAATATCATTATTACTATGTCCTTACATCTGCAATACCATTTCTGTCCCCATACAAATGGTGCTGGTGTGCCAAATCGGTTCCGACTCATAGCCACCCTGTATAGGGCTTCCGAGGTTGTAAATATCTTTATGGTAGAAGAAAGCCTCAGCTTTCTCCCACAGAGCAACTACTGGCCTTGAGTTTAGCAGTCCAGCTCATAATCCACTATGCTATCACGCTCCTTTCCTACACAAATGTTAAGTGCTGTAGAGTCCCTTCTGACCCATAGCAACCCTGCATAGGGTTTCCAAGGCTGTAAATCTTTATGTGAGCAAAAAGCCTCATCTTTTTCCAGCAGAACAGCTGGTAGTTTCGTACAGCTAACCTTGAGGTTAGCAGCCCAATTCGTAACCACTACGTTACCAGAGTTCCTATACAAATAAGCCTCCCAAAATGTGTTCCCCTCTCTTAAAATGAATTCCTAAAATTTCACTGTGCCGTTACACAAAAAGCATCATGGTATACAATAAAGACATTCCATAGATAACAAAATGAAATTCTTCCCCCAAAAAAGAAAGAAAAAACAAAACAGGTAAGAAAAAATTTTTCAGCATTCACTAAGATTGCAAGCATCTTGCAAGGCCAGGTTACAGGAAAAAGAATGTAATGTTCAGGAAACAATGTTGTCCACGTGGGAGAACATGAGGCCATCAGCTCCCATAAAGATTTCGGTTTTAGAAAACCCTTTAAGGAGCAGTTCTACAGAGTCACTATGAGTTGGAATAGACTGGAGTCAGTGGCAATGGGGTTTTGGTTATTACTATCTGTTGTTCAATTGTGACCCTACACTGCAGAACAGAACTGCTCCGTGGGATTTCCAAGGCTGTAAATCTTTACTAAAGCATCTTTGTCCCAAGAAGAGGCTGGGGGGTTTGAACCATCAACCTCTCTGTTAGCAATTAAACAGTTAACCACTGTGCCACCAAGGCTCCTTGGACTATTTAGGAACAAATGATTAAAACCCTGGAAATTTCCTATCACTGAGAAGCCATTATGCAGACTTGAATCTAGATGCCAAAGTCATAGATCTCCAACCTAAAGAACTTGGCCAGTATTACTTGAATTACTTAAACATGAGAGTTGTTCTTGTTACTTGCTGCCTAATCGACTTCTACTCATGGCGACCCCATGTGTGTTAAGTAGAACAGCTTCAAAGGGTGTTGAAGTCTGTGACCTTTTTCTGAAACACATTGTCAAACCTGTCTTCCAAGACACATCTGGGAGGGTTTGAAGTGCCAACGTTTCAGTCAGTCCAGAGCTTATCCATTTGCATCACCAGAGACTCCTAAACATGAGAACTACACAAACCTGCAGCAGGTCGTATTTTTGTGTCTCCCATAATTTATAAATAGTTCACAACATAACTGCCATATGACACATTAAAAAGGTAAAAGCCACCCTTTCCAACATCTCTTCTCCCTTATTCAGATGATTTCAATTCTTTATCGTCAAAAGAAGGGAGTAACTGCTCAGCAGAAGCCCCAGAACTGAACTCTTCTTCCATCAGAAAGCTAAATTTGTTGCAGTCAAAGACCGTCTACGGATGGCTACAACAGGAGATGGAAAGCTACACCATGGCAAGGTCTAGCCAGAGGAGCAAATAGCAAGTCTGGGGCATCCCTCCCCCTCAAAAAAAGTCAAGCTTCTTCAGCACTATAGGTAGAAACTTGGCATCCTCACCCCCACTTGCAACCTGACAATTTACAACCTGGCAACACCTTCTAATTAGGACCGTTCTAGCCTTTTATGGCCGAAAAATTAAACTGCTTCCCACAAGTAAGATAACCATGTCCTGGCGCCTGTTTCTGAGAACCCCAGTTCTCAGCATCAAGCTTCCAGTTTCGCGATGAGCCAGTGATCAGGCGTCTCTACAGTGGCGAGGGGTGCAGCCCACTCTGCTCTGCTAGGAGTGAAACGGGAAACGGAGGACAGAAGCGGGGAGTAGTGAGGGGCTGAGCGCAGAGGCGTGAGCAGCGTCCAAGCAGAGCTGGGCTCGGCGCACCAGCCGGCGACAGGCAGACAGCGGCGGCCACGCGAGAGCCGGGGTGCAGCCTGCAAAGCGGAGTACCTGCGCTGCGGAAGCCGCCGGGCGCGCACGCCAGGCACACCCCCCACGCGCCGGAGCGCGGCTCCCAGCGAGCCCCGTGCAGCAGACACACGGCCGCGGGATGCGCATCCCACCCGAGCTCGCACGCCCACGCCCCTCGGCCGGGCGGCGGCGCCTACGTACCCAACAACACGCAGAGCACATCGAGGGCCACGTACGGCAGCCGCGTCTTGTCAAACATGATCTCAGCTGGGGCTGCGAGCTGACGACTGAGGCAGCCGATTCACGAGCTCCGGCAGGCTTGGCGAGGGGAGAAGCCCAGGGGCGGATTGGGAGCGGGCAACGCTCAGACCGTCAGCAATGACGTCCAGTACCCCTCCTCTCGCAACTCCCGCACAACTAGGTCGGGGCTGAGGCGACCGCGCGCCCGTGGCGGTTGCTCAGTCTCCACAGGCCCTCCTCCTCGCTCGGCCTCGCCTGTCTAGGTTGTCCGCAGTCCGGATCCCGGCGCCCTCTCCAACAGGCGGAGCGTCCGGCCTCGTGCTTTAAGGATGGGGAACTGTAGGGAGGAGAAACGCGGGTCGGGCCCCTCCCGCTGCACAGCTCGGAGGGGACCGGCTTGCGCGCCGCCTCCCTGGCGGCGGGAGCGCGGCAGGGGCGGGGCAACCGGGGAGAGGGCGAAGGGGCGTGGCCAGGGAAACCAAAGCCTGTCGGAGGAGCCAATCAGCGCCTCCGACCCCGCCCCTCCCAACTTGCAAAGCCTGCCCATGCAGTTAACGCATGGCGACTGGGCGGGGCGAACAGGCGTCTCCGGTGCGGTCCTGAGAAGGGGGGGGTGTTACTTTCGGCCCCGCCTTTCTCTGGTGGTCTACAAGCCGTCCTCATTTACGCGAGGCGCCAAGCATGGAAGGGACACCTAAGCCCCAGACCTAGGATCCCACAGTCTCTGCTGGCCACCCACTTCCTCTGCTTCCATGGAGATCATGTGATAAAGATCTTGTAATAAAGGGCACTCTTCAGTTCTGAGTCCCAGGACAACCTCGGGAGGATTCAGTCATCTCGATGTCCTAATCTGTAAAATGAAAATGTTGATCCTCCCTGCGCTGCGTTGCAGTCAAAGGGAAGTGGTGACGCTCCGAAAAGATAATAATATGAAGGACATTATAGAGGGTAAAGCCATCCACAGATGTTCATTATTGATAATTTTCCTCCGTATTCACATTATATACCTCATTATAAGAAAAAATGTTTTATGTAACACAGCTGACTTTTCTTGCTAAGCACCCCTGAAACCAAAGTAGAGATAACATCACCCTCAAAGAGTCTGAAAATGTAGCCTGAAGTGATTCACCACTACCACCAAACAAATGCATTTGAAGAAGCATGCTTGTCTTTAAAAGGAGTATGAAATTTGGACTTTACCATTCCTTTTCATTTTAAGATTTTTTTAAAGTTGTAAACAATTTACTTGAGAAAAATTATTCTGTGGTTTCCCTTACTTCCTGAGCTATAAGGGCTCTAGTTTGTAAAGCCATAATAAACTCAAAGTATTTAGATTATGCTGTAATACCAAAGAATTAAGTGTTCATGCATTACACCTTTACTTAGCACCTACTTATCTTTTCCACAGCATAAACAGCAACTTTACCTGAGTTCTTCACCACAGGATTCAAATTTACTTTACCTGTGGAAAGAGACAATGAAAAAGTTTGTTATCAGTCAAGGCCAGGAGCTGACTGCAGGACACACCATCAGTTGCTCAAATGCAAGCTTAAGTTGCAAGTTGAAGAAAATTAAAACAAATCCACCAGAACCAAAGTATGATCTTCAGTATATCCCACCAGATTTTAGAGACCATCCCAAGACTAGATTTGACCCATTGAACACAAATGATCAAAGACCAAACCAATGTCAAGAATGTCATAAAGAAAGCACAAGGTCTTTTTAAAAGACAGGGGGAAAAAAAGAAAAGACTAAAATGGATGTCAGAAGAGACTATGAAACTTGCTCTTCAATATAGAGTAGCTAAACTGGGTGGAAGAAATGAAGTAAAAGAGCTGAACAGAAAATTTGAAAAGCTAACTAGAGAAGGCAAAGTAAAATATTGTAACAATATATGCAAAGCTAAAAAAAGGAGCTCTGGTAGCGTAGTGGTTACGAATCGGGCTGCGAACCTTAAGGTCAGCGGTTCGAAACTACCAGCTGCTCCGCGGGAGAAAGATGAGGCTTTCTACTCCCGTAAAGATTTACACCCTCGGAAACACTGTACAGGGTCGCTATGGGTCGGAACCAACTCGACGGCACTTAACAACAACAACATATAACTAAAAGGGAAGCTAGAAAACTAAAAGGAAAGGAAGAACATAAAAGAACTAAATTAAAACTTCAAGCCTTGAGTTTCAATACTGAAGGATTCTGTAGGCAAAATGCCAAACAACACAGGAAGCATAAGAAGATAATAGGAATGTATGATCACTGTACCAAAAAGAACTGGTGGGCATTCTGCCACTTCAAGAGCTAGTATATGATCAAGTACCAATAGTACTGAAGGGAACATTCCAACCCGCACTGAAGGCATTAGCCAAAAATAAATCTCCAGGAATTGACAGAATACCAACTGAGATATTTCAACAAATGGATACAACACTAGAAGTGATCATTTGTCTACCACTAAAAAAAAAAAAAAAAAAAAATTGTTCTGAGGAACAATTTTCTCCCAGGAATTATTGTTAACTTTATAAGGCCTGTTTTTTATGTGGCCAAACAGTTTGTTTTTGTATAGTAAGGTATACCTTCAGGAGTGCTTGTCAACTTTTAATTTTGTCATACTGTTTTATGTTATATTATTGATAAGTCTCCCTCTGATCTAACAGTGCTTGTCTAGACTATTTCATAAAGTATCTGCAAAGTAATAAGAATGAATTCCCTGATAGTACTGTACAACATTTATATGTGCCTAGGTCCCTAAATGGGATTAATGGTTTGTATTCTTCTGCTAACCAAAAGTTGATGGTTCAAACTCACCCAGCAATAACACAAAAGAAAAGTTCTGTAAATCTTCCATTAAGATAACAGTTAAGAAAACATTGTGGAGAAGCTATACTCTTTAACTCATGGGCTCCTTGTGAGTCAGAATCAACTTAATCGCAACAAAACAATGTCCGAAAAACAACAAAACAATGTTCTGACAAAGTCAAATACTTGTCTCTCTCTTTTATAAAGTTTTCATTATTATTGTCTTTTATTATTATTATCTTTATAAATCATAATCTTGAGCATCTGCAAGTGAACATCTGAGAGTAACATCTTCAGCTATGTGCTGCAACATTACATATACTACATATTATTAACAATAAGATGTTTGGTGGTGGTGTTGTTACATCCCCGCCAAAAAAGGTGGCTGTAAGTGCAGTTCCTCTGACTGAAACAATTGAAAGTGCAAATGTCTGGTTTCCCAGTCCATTATGACTTCAAACCACCACTCATCTATCACTTTGTCATACTGTGATGGCTTACGTGTTGCTATGATACTGGAAGCTTTGTCACAGGTGTTTTAAATGCCAGTTGGGTCACCTATGGTAGACAGGTCTCCGTGGACCTTCCACACTAAGACATACTAGAAAGAGAAAAAAAAGACCACTTCTGAATGGTTTCCCACTGAAAACCTTATGAATAACATTAGAACATTGTGTGATATTATGCAGGAAGATTAGTCACTCAGGTTGGAAGGCATTCAAAATATGATTGAAGAAGAGCAGTCTCCTCAAAGTAGAGTTGACCTTAATGATGAGAATGGAGCAAAGCTTTCAGGACCTTCATTTGCTGCTGGAGTACAACTCAAAATGAGAAGAAACAGCTGCAAACGTCCATTAATCATTTTTATGTGGAAAATTAGAAGGGGTTGAAAATTAAATGGAAGAGTGTGGGGGGGAAGGTAGACTCCCCACTGAACAGTTTTAATCTTGTCTAAATGAGTCTGGTGAAAGGAGATGGCAATAAAATTCTTATGATTCAATAGTGAATAATTGTTATCATGACTAACTGCGATTGTCACAACTGTAAGTATAGAAGTTTTTTTTAACATAAAGGGGGAAATAATCTTACATTCCAGGAACAGAGAACCCTAGGACCATCAAGGGAGAAGAGCATGTGAGGAATGTGGGACACTATCCAGAGAAGCAGTGATACCAGAAATGAAGGCAGAGGTGATGGCATGGAGAGACAGAGCAGCTGAGGACTCTAGACTCATGGAAAGAGAAAGGCTGTGAGCTGGCAGCCAGAAAGCAGGCTTGCAGAATGTATCCTTTGGTTGTCTAAATGATTATATATTCCTGAGTGTTTTCGTGTACATTAACACAAAAACACACAGCAGATGGATAGAAACAAATACTGTTGAATGATTATGCACGGAGGGGCTTGTAATCATGGCAATGAAACAAAATACTGCAGAATGAGTGTAAAACTGAGTTCTCCCATGTAAACGATCACTCAATTCATGATAAGGACTTAAAAAAAAAATTAAATGGAATGCATAAACATCAATAGCCTAGGCATTAATGGAGTCCTGGAGTCCTGATGTGGCTCAGCTGGATAGTACACTGGACTGCAAGGTCTGTTTGAATTGCACGGTCTGTGGTTGCAACTCACAGCTGCTTCTTGGAAGCTCTATACAGGGTCACTGACTAAAGTCAGAACTTGCTCAATGGCAATTGACAACAGCAACAATGGAGTACTAATATGGCGCTATAGGATAAGCACTGGACTGTTAACCACAAGGTCAGCAGTTCAAAACCACCAGTCACTACTCCTTAGAAACCCTATACAGAGTCACTCTGAATCAAAACTTGACAGCACTTACCAACAACAATGAGCTGAAATGGACAGTATAGTCCATTTTGAATCTGACAGTCATATGATTTACTATGCCAAGAATGAGAAATTGAAGAGGAATGGCATCACATTTATTGTTAAAAGAACATTTCAAGATTTATCTTGAAGTACAATGTGATAGGAGTCCTGGTGTGGTGCTGTGGGTTAATGCGCCAGACTGCAAAGCCGTTTGAACTGCAAGGTCATGGTTCAAGCTCACCAGCTGCTCCTAGGAAACCCTATACAGGGTCGCTATGGGTCAGAACCGACTCGATGGCACTTAACAACAACAACAACAATGTGATAGGTTATATCCCTATGCCTATAAGGAAGACTAATTAATACCACTATTATTCAAATTTATGAATCAAACACTAAGGGCAA